CACTCTTTCTTTTTCCTTCCTGTAGCTGTTTTCAGAATAACGTTGAGATCCATGTTGCACATATTCAGAGTGGTCTGAGCCAGATGGGAAATTTACATGCTTTTGCAGCTAATAACACCAACAGAGACTGAAAATTTTCTTTCAACTGTACAGCAAGTAGTTCCGGAAAATCCTCTTCCTTTATATAGGCATCACCAAATATCCTAACTGCCAGAAGAAGGGAAAACAAAACCTCTCAGAAAAGACCCTTTTAAATATATTCCATCTGCTGCTTATGAAAACCAGTGTTACGTTAGATTTCTCTGTTATTCACATACCGTAGTTTTGCTAACTGGTTATCTCTTGGTAATTGCATTTGTTATCATAAGCTTGAAAACACAATTTCATATAATTTGAACTTAGTTTTCAAAAGTTCAGACGAATTCTGCACACCTCTTGCTGTTGGCTCTTCTGGTATGTTAGAAGAGAGGAAGAGGAAATGGCTCAAATCATTAGCCACATGGCAAGTCTTTGTTATGTGAAGCTACGCTTTGTAGGTATTGAGAGTTTCAGCCTCCAGGAAGCCTGGTGACAATGCGGGCTGAGTGTTCCTGATCTAAAGAAGCAGCAACAGGATACTGATAGCAAAAAGAAGCTGTAAACTTGAGGATGTTGGGCAGCTCTATCACTCAGTCAATATCTTGTTGGAACTTATAATTTATTGTAACTTAAAGAAGGAGTCTGATGAAGGAATATAAATGCAACTGGTAATTTTCCAGGAGATTGGTTATGGCTTTTTCCCTTCACACGGGGCAAGAGAAGTGCTTTAGTTGGTATTTTATATAAAGAACTGGTAAAACATACTGTTTTTCCAATTTTTTGTTTGTTTTGCACAATTTTTAAATAAGATTACTGGTTATCCAACAATATTCAACATGTATAAATAATAAGATTTTTATAATTAAGGATAACCAGTGAGCTAAACTGCAAAAATAAGAAGTGACAACTTGCCTATGAATACCTTTTGGCATGTTAATCTTGTAAAAAGTGTGTATTGTTTTGTTTAAATAGTCTTGTAAAGCTTCTGTGTTATGAACTGTTTCCAGATATGAATTTTCAGAGATAGCTGTAGAGATGTTTTTGATTCTTTTAGATACCTCATTAAATGAGGTCTTTTATATGTTAATGTATAAAGAATATGTAAACAGGATTATTTTCAATTTTAAATTTTTGTATAGTTTAAAGATGCTTCTGTATTCTGTGTTGGTATTGTGCCACTGCAAAACTTGAGCGCAGAGTTTATATTTAGCTAAACTTGTTCTATTACGAGAAATGCATAAATCTTTTATTCTCAATGAAATTTGTAACTCTGAATAAATTGACCTAAGAGAGTTGATGTATTTCACAAAAATGCAAACTTTCTTGCAGATGGTTCAAGGTAATTTTTTTTAAGAGAAGTTAATTTAATTGATGAAAATGAAATATGAGGATAAGGTGAGTAGCTGTTTTAAAAGGTCATTAGAAAATTTACAAGGGATATTACAAAATTCTACTGAACATTAGTTTTGCTGAGTTACCCATGGAAGTCTCCCTCTCAAAATGTAATAGAACAGTATAGTGATCCCTGTGTTGTGAGGTCTGTTACCTGAGGTGCAAGAAGCCAATCCACACACAGAGTTAAGATACTTGCTTTAGTATCCAGTTCTGCACAGAAAAGAGGAGGGTGGTATTCCACAAAGCAAGCTAAGTTCCCAAAACACAAGTGCTACTTTTATGCCCAAAAACATGAGAAAGAACTTTATCACTGGCACACCTCACTTCCATGTCTGAATTACTCAGTGATTCATCTTTTAAATCAGGTCTGCTGGCACAGACCTTTTTGTTAGTAGTCAGTCACCTTGTAAAAGTTCCTCTTCTGTAACTGACACCAATCAGTGTGTCATCAACATACTTGAAAGAGTATGATGTTTTGGTTGTTACCTTGCCACTCTTCCAGTTCTTTTGCTTGTATGTTACCAAATAGGGTAGGGCTGTTCTTTAATCCTTTTGGAAACACCATCCAACACAACTCTGCTTTCATTCGTGTTGTCAGATTTTCCCATTCAAATGCTATAATGGTTCACCTTGCCTTGTCTGCCAGGCTGCAGAAGAAAATGTCCTTCAAAACTGGAAAATAAACATTTGTCTTAGTCATAGATGTAAGCAATGTATATGAGTTGGGAACCACAGAATGCACATCCACAGTTATCCAAATGATTTCTCCTAGGTCCTGAACCAACCTGTATTCTTGAGATTGAGGTTTCTTTACTGGTAATATAGGAGTTAAATTCAGATTGACATTCTCTTAACAGTATTTTTAAAAGGTGTTAATTAATGGTTCCAACCCTTCTTAGGCTTCCAATTTTAAGGGATACTGTTTGTTGAGCTCTAGGCATTAACTCTATCTTAACAGGTGTCACGGTCTTTGCTGTACCTGGTTCTTCAAAAAAACAGACCAGAACAATCACTGCATTTATCACTGTGTCTGCAATGTTGTGTTCAGGTTCCTATGTAGAAGGTGTCACTGGTAGCAGGCAAATCTGTGCCTTCTATGCCATCTCCTATGGAATATGTAACTGCACAGAATTCTCAGAAAAGGTTACTTGAGCATTCACTATGCATTCTAATAAAATCACATTCTAATAATGGCAGGGGACATTCTGGCATATAGACAAATACAAGAGTTAGTTTCTTATTTCCCATTGTGCAGTCCACTGGTTTCAGGAACGGCCTCTCCAATTGCCCCAACAATTGGTATTGTAATTTTCTTTAAAGATCCCTTACAACTACTAACTACTGAATCTTTGGCTCTACTATCTAACAAAAAAATCTATAATTTCCCCCCTCATTTAATTGGAACCAGCAAATAAGATGAGGAAATATTAATCATTTCCTCTGATCCCCTTCAGTCTGAGTCAGATTCCTCCACCACTATCAAATTCACATTGGTTTCCAAATTTTCCTGTTCCCTATCCGTCTTGCTCCTATTTTGGGCACTCATTTTTCCAGTGCCCTCTCCTCTTGGCAAGTTGCACTCTGATTTAACCCTAATGGGGCTCGATTTCAGTCATCCCCCATAGACAATGATCTTGTATGTCTCGCCCTGCCCTGGCCTCTGCTTTTTTCTCTCCCACATCTCTCAAAATTACTCTCAGTTATAATGGCAGCTAATAAAAATGCCTGCAGTTTCATTTTGTTCTGTTTTTCTTTTTTTCTCCTCCTCACCTTGATTGCTGTACACCTTGTATGCTATTTCAAGCATGTGAGATCAGGATTCCTCCTGCCGCATCCAATTTCAGCAATTTCTTTCTAATATCCAAGGCTGACTGACCAATAAATAGCATGTTAAACATCTTTGTTTCCTCCTCCAGATCCAAATCTGTCCACTTTCTAGCAGGCTCACACAGCCTTTCATAAAAGATCAAGAGTTCCTCATTGGACCCCTGTTTAATGCCATATAATTTTGGCAGGTTTTTCTGTTTACAAGTTCCATGCCAAACCCCACAGAGGTCTGATACCACCTGTGTCCGTCCAGGTACTTCCCAGAGTTAGGATCCCAGTCTGGGTTCTCCCTGGGTATAACCTATTTAATGTAACCTTGTGGATATTTTGCTTTTCCTCAGTAGTGAGGAGGGTCTCTAAAAAATATCTCCTGCGGTGGGGTTATGTCTCATGATGATTATTTTGATTAGCCCATACGTCCCCTCTGGATTAGACTGATACACCATAGACTGTTTCCAATTTAACAGAGACACACGAAAAAACAGGCTGACCCTCCACCCTGACTGCTTGTCTCAAGGGGGCCTGAACAGCAGGACACTGGCCATTGGGCTACAATCTGTATTCTCTGAATGCCCACTCACTGCCCCCCCACCCCCTTTCACTCCTCTCATACTCAGGTGATGCATTTTCAGGGGGCCTGAGGGCACCAACAACCTCATATCCTGTATATCCTCATCCCCTTTCACCAACTTAAAACAACCTTTCTTAATAGCTCTTGATCCTGCATACAAAATATAATCCTCCTTCACACCATACCTCTTTTGAGTCTCTGGCCTTCTATACAAAATCAAAAAGCATCCACATACAACACGACATCACACCCATACTGCTGCAAAACATCATCAACTGAAATACAATGTAATAATTCAACGTTCCATTTAGTGGCTGAAAATTGCAATACATTATAATGTTCTCTTTTTTCATTAGAATGTTCCCAAGTATTTTCCAGTTTTTTTAAGGATACTTCTGAGAGGAGTGAGGAGGTACCTCACTGAAAGTAGTCATACCCATATTGCAACCTTAAAAGATTTACCACTGTTTCAAATGCTCAGCTCTGGCAGAGACAAATACCCACCCTTGTCTTGCCATGTGTCTATATGTGAAACCCTATTTTGTTTTATGGTACCAATAAAACTGAAACAGACTGCTTCCCCCCTTTCATCCCCCCCTGCCAAATACCTCTTTTAGTATCGCACCTTTGAGTTGCTCACTGCCTGACACAAGAGAAGCCACCAGAGTTCCCACATCAGGTCAGTGGTACTGGAGCCCTGGGCAGCCTGGTCACCACTGGAAGGCAAGACAATCCAAGCAAGGCTCTGGGCAGTCCCGTCTGGGTTGCCAAAACTGTTGTCTTGAAAGTGGGGTCTATTACCCAGTGTGCAAGAAGCCAGTCCACACAGAGTTGAGATACTTGCTTTAATATCCAGTTCTGTGCAGAAAAGGGAGCAGGGTGGTATTCCATACAGCAAATCAATTTCCCAAAACATAAGTGCTCCTTTTATAACCAAAAACGTGAGAAAGAACTTTAACATTATTCTATCACTGGCACACAGAATTGGTCACTAGTCTCTCGCTTCCATTTGAAGTGTAAATGCTCAGGAATTTCACTGCACATGCCCAAAGAGTAAGGGGCTTGTTGTTAGTAGGGGTCCCTCCAGCCTGTCAGTGTGTATCTTAGTATGTTAATGGCTCATTAATATATTAACACAGTGATTTCAATTACTCAATCTGTTTTCCCCCAGTGCTCAAGGCTGTAACCCAGATAAGCTGTGGGCAGTGCTCCTTTCCATCCCTTCCATCTGCCCAGCAGGTGTCCTGCAGGCCTGTCTCAAGGCTGGGCTGGTGACCTCTTGGGGAGTGTTTTTCTCTTAATTGGAATCT